CCCAGAAGAACCACAGGGATCTCTAGCGTTAGCTGAGATCTGATAGCAAACTCTAACCCCCCTTGGGAAAGAACGTACAGGGCAGATTGCCTCCAAGTCCCTGAGAGACATGCTCCAATATCCCTTAGGAGTGTCCTTCATTGGTGTTAGGCTAACCATTTACAACTGAGTGTCCTCTGTGCTGAGAGGGGTATCTGGAAGAAGCAGAGGAAGGAGACATTAAGCCTTGATTTTTTTCAGGAAGGGAGGTACTTTCTTTGTAGCCTCAGCATTTAGCAAAGTGCCTGGTATATTTGTTGTTGTTCAGTCATTTCAGTCATGTCTAACTCTTCACAACCCCACTGGGGGTTTTCTTGGCAAATATATTGGTGTGCTTTGCTGTTTCCTTCTCCAGCTCATTTGACAGATGAGGAAACTGAGGCAAACAGAGTTAAGTGACATGCCTAGGGTCACACAGCTAATAAGTGTCTGGGGCCAAATTTAAACTCAGGAAGATGAGTCTTCTTGACTCCAGGTCACCTACACTCTTCTAATTATCCATTGAGTCACCTAACTACCCTACACCTGGTACATAGTAGGTACTTAATAAATGCTGCTAAGTTGCCTATCTGGAAGCAACCTTAGAAGTCATCTAGACCATGTAGTACAATTTTACAATTGAGAGAACTAAAACCTATAAAGGTGAAGTGACTTGTCCAAGGTCACACAAGAAGTAAGTAGTAGAGACAAGATTTGAACCAGGTCCTCTAAAACACCTAGAACATATTGAAGCAAGTCCCTCAGGAACTTGGGGAAAAAATCTGCCCTCTGGGCTTTTCCTCAAGTTGAGATGCTGCTACCAGAATTGTGCCCTGCTCAGCTCAATCTAGACTATTACACTGGGAACCCAACACCATTTCCACCACCTCAACTCCCAGTGTGACAGGGGATACAAGGAACACACCACAGCCATCTTTGCAGATTTCCAGAGGGCACACACAAATACCTACAGCATTAACAGATGGTAAGAAAACTTCAAGTCCGGCGTCAGCATTCTTCTTTAGGGCAAACTGATCCTCCCCCAGACCCCCTCACCAACAGAGCCCAGTGGAAATGCTTTGGGTGCTTATGACCTCTCAAGGCCCACCACTCTTCATTAGTCCTGAGGACCCTGACTGTCACATCCTTAACCTCCTTGGCCATGGTGCCAAGCCCAGCTAAGTGGCAGAGTTGTGTTTATTTTTGGCTGCATAGTTCAGATTCTGCAGCAGACCTGTCACTAGGAGAGAAGATAATGACAGTGGGGAGTTGAACATATGCATGCAGTCTTACTTGGACACACTTATGTTCACTCACATACCCACGTAGATAGAGAGATATGCATATTTGCACAGATACATAAACACACACGCAAAAACACACATCCCTTTCCAGCACCTAATTGTCAGACTGGCAGGGCTCCCAATAATTGATGTCTGCTAATGGTAGCAATAGGTGCCTGTTTTCCTAGAGGCTGCTCGAAGAGTATTTTTCACTCCTCTTACCACTGTTAGTCTCTAGCATTTCTCCTAGATTAACCCTCCCAGTGCCCCACTCCAGGTTGCCTGTCAGGTAGAAGCACGTGCTTGGAAGGCCAGTGTGTGATAACTGCTCTCCTCTCCCACCTCTCTCCTCACCCTCAAATTATTTTCCTCCTCACCCTCCCCTATCCCAAATTTGATAATGACCACAAGGCCACAAGAAGAGGAGCAAAGAAGAAAGAGGGAGACAGCTACACTGACCCACTCCATTTGTCCTCAAAGCCACACCCTTGAAAATATGGTCAACTCCCCTTTTCCACTTTTGTGTATTATCTGCTTGCTTGATGCAGCAGATTTGAGGATCTTTGGCTAGGTTCTCCACATGCACACACACAGAGACAGACACACTCCAGCAAGCTACTGTGTGCAACATTTTTTGTGTCTTGGACCCCTTTGGCAACAGCTTAATAAAGCTATGGAACCCTTCTCAAATAATGTGTTTTTGTTTTTGTTTTTGTTTTGTGTGTGTGTGTGAGGGCAATTGGGGTTAAGTGACTTGCCCAGAGTCACACAGCTAGTGAGTGTTATGTGTCTGAGGCTGGATTTGAACTCAGGTCCTCCTGACTTCAGGGCCGGTGCTCTATCTACTGCGCCACCTAGCTGCCCCGTATAATGTGTTTTTTTAATGAATAAAATAAGATACATGAGATTACAAGGGAAACCAATTATATTGAAACATTTATCATTTTTTTAAAAAAATTCATGGCTCCTCTGAAATCTATCTGTGGATCTTGATTTGTGGATTGGGGAATTCGCACTCATTTTTCTGTCAACCCAACAGCGCAAGGAAGAAAAGGGGAATCTACAGCTAGAGAAAGGGCACTAGAATTGGAGCCAGAGATTCCCATCTTGGTTCTGCTACTTCCTAGCTGTGATATTCTGAACAAAGCATTTCCATTCCTCTGTTCAAGCCAATCAAAAAAGTATAATTAATGTTATGTGCAAGGAACTGTCCAAGGTTCTGGGAATACAAAGATTCATGTGTTCTGCTGGGGCGGGGGGAGAACAATATGTAAACAGATTGGTATATACTTGATAATTTGAGGGGGACGGAGAAAGCACTGACAGCTAGTAGGTATCAGCAAAGGCTTGCCTTAGGAGATGACATATGAGTAGCGCAAGGAAGCCAGGGATTAAAGAGGCAGCATGGTATAGTAGATAGAACTCTGAACTTGTATTCAGGAAAACCTAGGTTCAATTATTGCTTCAGACACTTATTGACCACATGACCCTGGGCACACAACTTTTCTGTGACTCAGTTTCCTCATCTGTCAAATGAAGGGGGTTTGACTCAAGATCCACTCTTGCTCCAACTTTAAATCTATGATCATTCTAAGAATAGGAGGAAGTGGGGAAGGGCAGGGGGAAAGTACATTCAAGGCTGATGCTAAGGCACTTAGGCAGGAGATGAAACCAAGTCTGGTGAACAGCAAAGAAAGCCAGTTTGGCTGAAATATAGAAAGTGTGGAGGGGAATGAGATTAAAGCAGCCTAGAAAGGGAAACTAGAGCCAGATTGTGGAGGACTTTACATGCCAAGTTCAGTAATTTGTACTTTCACGTGGAAGCAATAGGGAACCACTGGGTGTCCTTGAGCTAGTGCTTTAGGGAGATTTTTTTAGCATCTATGTGGAAGATGGACTGGAGAGGAAAAAGAAGGGAGGCAGAGAGACCAATGAAGAGGCTGTTTCAGTACTTTAGACAAAAAAGGATGAGGGCCAGAGCTAGGGTCGGGAAGAAAAAGACTTTGCAACTGATTGGTAATTGTGGGTAGAGAGGCAAGTTCCTCCACTATAAAGTGAGAGGTCTAGACAAGATGATCTTTAAGCCCCTTGCAGCTCTAGATCTTTAAAAAATAAAGCTAATAATAAAATAATATTTATCAATAAGTATAAAATACAAGAAAATTTATTAATAAGTTTGTTAAACATAAAATATATTGATAAATGTTATTGGAAATAGTACTCATCCAAACATATCATTATATGATATTTATTAATACATGTTGTTAAACATAATGTTCATTAATAAATTATTAAACATAATATGACTGATATTATTAAAATAATAATATTTTCTAGCTTTAAGGTTCATAGAGCACTTTACTCCCAACAACCCTGTGGGGTGGTTTTTAAAGATGAAATTGAGGCTCAGAGAAGGAGGTGACTTATCCAAGGGCATACAGCCAGTAAACATAGGAATCAGCACTAAACCCAGGTGTCCTGCCTTCACTTGTTCATTTTGTTGAAGTTTTTATGGCTTATCTTTCTCCCCTAACCCAACCCCACCTCTAATACTTTCCATACTTCCTTCTACAGCTCCTTCTCTCCCAGAGAAATTGGCTTATTGGGCCTTTGTCCCCTGGAGGGAAAGTGCAACTTGGGAAAAGCAGACATCAGGGAATCATCATTTTCTCAGCCCTCTACATGGTGTAAATGAGCCCAATTTTCAGTGACTTCTCATCAGGAGATTGTACAACAGAATAAATATCCCACAGCTCTCCCCTAATCTCCTCCTCAATCAGAAGCTCACCCCCAGCTGGCTAAAAGGACAGAAATTTGGCGCTAGTGTATATGGGCATGTGAAGAAGACAAATATTTTCTCTTCTTCCTTTTCAGAAGACAAAGGAAGTAACCTGGAGTTATCGTGACTTATTTTATCCACTGGAGTCAGTGGTCTGAGGACTCAATGCTTTATCTCCTCTTTTATAGAAACCTGTCCCCTCAGCTCTTGTGACCTGTGTCACTTAGGGCCAGTTATGTTATGCCTCAGTGTCCTCTTCTGCAAAATGAGGATAATAAGAACTGTATTAACTATCTCACAAGGTTGTTGTGAGGATCAAATGAGATAAAGGATATAAAAATGACAGTGTAAGTGTCAGCTATTGTTTTTGTCTGAGTATTCTGGAGGGCATAGGGGTGGACATAGGCTTTGGTGCCTGAGCCGTCAGATGTGGTCCTGTTGACCAGAGAAGTCTTCCCTGATCACCCAGCTCATTGGGATCTTTTAGGAGCTGCATCATCCGTTGGGTACTTATCATACACTGCTTTTTCAGGTGTGTTTCTCATCTCTTGAGCCAGATGATAAGCTTCCTGAGGCCATGGAACTGATCTAACTCCCTCATTTATCAGGACAGAAAAACAGACCTACAAAAGGGAAAAGACTTGTCCTCAGTCACACAGCTTAGTACAGGCAGAGGTGGGGCTAGAACCCAGTCCTAAAAGTAAATAAAGCCACAATTATTCCTTGCATCTGTTTCTGCTAGAGTCAGTGTCCCATATCTCTGTGTGGTCTTGGTTAGGACCTAGTACTGCTCCTTGATTGGGTGAGTACTCAGTTTGATGGATGATGGTGGTGGCGATAACAATGATAACAATGACCATGATAATGATGTCAGTGGAGTGATGGGAAGGATAATAGTGAAGGTGGTGATAGCTGTCGCAATGGGGGGGGGGTATAATGGTGATGATAGTGACAGCAGTGATGATTGTGGTGGAAGAGATAGTGATGGTGATGGTGGTGACCATGGTAGTAATGATGTTGATGGAAATCTAGATGATAATGTTTATGAAAATGGTGATGATGATGACGATGATGATGATGGCAGTACTTATGACAATGGTAATAATGATTGAAGGTGATGGTGGTGTGGTGATAGTGGTGATGGTGGTGATCGAGATGTGGTGATGGTAATTATGACAGTAGTAGTTATGGCAGTGGCAATGATGATTGGTGGTGAAGGGGATGTGGTAATGGCAATGATGGTGGTGGTAGTGATAATGATGATGATGGTTATCAAATAGTGATCTGATGATGATCATGATGATGATCATGAAGGAAGACATGGAGATGATAATAGGAATGATGACAATGGTGGTAACAGTGTGATGATATTCTTGATTATGATGATGGTGGTGACGTTGTTGAAAATAATAACCCACATTTATATTGATTCTTTTTAAGTTTTGCAATGCATTTTACATACATTATTTAGTGAGACCTTACAACAACCCTATGCAGTAAATGCTGCCATTATTCCCATTTTACAGATAAGGAAACTGAGACTCAAGGAAGCTGAGTAATTTCCTCAGAATGACAAACTGCCAGCAAGTGTTTGAGTTGGGATTTGGCAATGATGGTGATGCTACTGTTATTGTTATTGATGATGACTTTATGGTCAGGGACTTCCAATCACGTGACCTGTAGTCTGACCAGAGCATGAGAAAGTTTGCTGACTAAGTATTTTGAAATCACCATGTTAGACTTTTCAGAGCACTTTAGCATCCATTATTTCATTTCACCTTCTAGCCTGTAGAGTAAATTCTGCAGTTACGATCATTTCCATTTCACAAATGTTGAAACTAAGGACCAGATCAGTGAAGGACTGCATTTAATGTCACACAGCTATTTAGAAGTAGAGTTTGGCCTACAACATAGGATTCTCCCTCCCAAGACTTATCTATGTTCTTTCCACTCTAACTCCCTAATGCTTCTTTGATACTCTTTGATATTCTTTGTATCAGTTAAATACTATGTGCCAGACTCATGTAGATTGTAGATCAAGCATAATTCTCTTCCCCTAAGGGAAAGCCTAATCTCCTAGGTGAGATGTAGTCTTTGTTCCTGCTTTGATGGTGCCATCCGTTTTGTTGATGGCACCACTCAGTGGTCATGCAGCCTTGGAAAACCCAGAATCATCTTTGACTCTATTTCCTCCTTAACTTCTTGCATCCAATCAGTTGCCAACCTCTATCAATCCTTTTCTCCCTTGCAAAATTTCAGGCCCCCACCTTTCCTCTCCATTTCTATTGCCATCACTAGTTCAGAACCTCTACACACTATAATCTAGCCACACTGGTCTACTTACTGACTCTAATGCAAGACACTCCATCTTCCTTTTCTCCATGGTTTTGAATTGCCTGCTCTCCTCCCTCTCCATAAGCAGAATTCTCTGCCTCCTCATCTCTGCCTCTTTGAATCTCTGGCTTCCTTCAATCTTCAGTTCAAATCCTACCTTATGCAAGAGCCATTTCCTGGTGTCCCCAGCTGCTACAGCCTCCTCTTCTAATGTTATCTTTCATCTACTTTGTGTGTATCTAATTATTTCCATGCTGTTTTCCCTGAAAGAATATAGGCTCCTGGCAGCCAGGGAGTGTTTCTGCTGTTCTTGTATCCCTGTTCTTGCATTCTCAGTGCTTAGTATAATGCCCAGCACACAATAGAATTGAATAAATTCTTGCTGATCAATAGTTATTTGCATATTTGGGATCAGAGATCTAGAACTTTTCTCATTTTGTGAATAATAAACCTGAGACCCAGGGGAAGGTAAGTGACTTATCCAAGGTCACACAGGGAGTAATCATCAGAGTAAAGATTAAACCCAGGTCCACACAATACCTACTTGTAGGCCATCCCCACTCCATCATCTCTCCTTCCATAGTAAACTAAAAGCTTAAGGAAACTTCATAAAGGTTTGAATGTAAGATCCTTGAGAGTAGGGGGTGCTCCATTTAAAAAAAATTTACACCCCCAGTGCCTAGTATGTTGCACATAGCCTAGCACATAGTAGGTGCTTGTTGACTGATTGAATTGGATGTAAAGGAATGGGTATGGGGACACTAGCTCTTGCCCTCCAGGAGCTTCCAGGCCAATTGAGGAAATAAGTCCCTGCCCTCAGGGAAGTTGTTTCCTGCAGGAGGAGGAGGAGGAGTGATACACATGAATTTAAAGCACTTATGTTCACAGCAGGAAAAGACTTCCTTCCCAACATCAAAACAAAGAAATAGTTGATTCCTTAGTGTTGGTACTGCAGAGAATGTAACTTTTCCTCTGTGTGTGTGTGTGTGTGTGTGTGTGTATGTGTGTGTGTGTGTGTGTGTGTGTGTGTGTGTGTGTGTGTGTGTGTAAAGGGACTGGGCTGGTAGGACCCTTACTGTCCAATCTGTTGAATGGACAGACTGCTGGGGAGGGAGTCAGGAGAGGTGTAGTGGAGGTGAGATCAGGGCACTTGGAGAGGGCATTGAGAGGTAGGGGTGAGGTGGAGCTGGTACCTGGCATAGCTCCCTCCGAGGCAGCATCATCAGTGATGCAATTCCTCTTACAGGGAGGAGAGGAGATGCTTGACCCTCTCTTTCCCCCTCCTCTTGCCCTCAATGTCTTCACATCCTCAAAATGAGATACAAGAGGAAGCATCCCTCTCCCAAATGAGGATATCATGAACACCAGAGTTGGCCAGATCCTTTGCAGCAATCAGCCTAAGCTGCTCTTGGATCTACACCTTCCTCCATGAAAGGAACAGCTGCCCTGCAGGCCTCTGCTCCATTGTCCTGTTCTGTCCTCAAATGCCCCAGCCCACAGTTTGTCAGTAAGGATGATAAAAAAAGAGGCAACCTGTCGGGAGTTCAGAGAGGCCTGCCTTTGGAACCTGGGAGACCTGGGACCAAGTGCTGCTTCGGACCCTGAGGAGGTTAGGGGACCCCAGCCAAGTTTCTCTGAGCCCCAGTTTCCTCATCTGTAAAGTGGGTGTAATAAGAGCTTCTACCTGACAGGGTTGTTGTGAGGATTAAATGAGATGATGGAAACGCATTTGAAAGCTTTAGAGCCTACATAAATGTGAGCTGTTATTACTGCTATCGGTATGGAGTGGTAGATTCTGAGCTGGCTTCTGAAGCAGGAAGGCTTTGGTTCAAGGTTCTACATTCTGTGTGACCCTGAGCCCATTGCTTAACATCTATCTGTCCCTAGGGAACTTGCTAAACCTAGAAGCAACTCATCTGCATTGGCAAAGGGAGCTTCTTGACTTGGAATTCCCCATATTAATGAACTCACAGGTCTGGACCACTTATTATTAATAATAATACTTAATGGTTATAATTGATGATATAAAATATGATCATTATAATTAATGGTATAATTATTATTATTAATGATGATGATGATACTTAAGGAGCTATGGGACCCTGGGCAAGTCTCTGAGCCCTGGTCCTTATCTGTAAAGATAGTAAGGATGGTGGTGGTGGTGGTGATAATTTTGTTGATGATGATAATGGTGACTATGATGATAATGGTGATGATGATGGTGATGATGATGATGGTGATGTTGAGATTTGGTCTTGGACTGGAGTCAGGAAAACCTAGGGTGAAGTTTTGCTTCTGATGCCTTTTGTCTGTGTGACCTTGAGCTAGTCACTTAACCTCTCATCGCCACTAGACAACTTTCCAACTTCTGTAAGGGACACAGCAGTTGTCCAGTTTCATGGATAGAAGAAGTAAAATCATTAGTTCAAACAATAACAAAAGTATTAACAAAATACATTCCCCTAAAACAGTTAAGCAAAACTTTGCCCTTTTTTCCTCCTCATAATTAACTTTTCCCCCAAAGGTGATCTCCGGGAATGTGTGTGTGTGTGTGTGTGTGTGTGTGTGTATGTGTGTCTTTTTTGAACACAGAACCATCCAGCTGTGCTTCCCATAAGTTCAGCAGGGTTCTTCTGAAGTTCCTGGGAGGGAGATCAATAGTGGGTCTTTGAAATGGAAAACCATGATCTGGAAGGGGGTAGATGTCACAGCCAACTTGACCCTTCTAGGTTACCTCTAGGGCAGTCCTCTACCCTGTCTCCTCTCCTCGATCCTGGACCTGAAGTGGCCTGGGCAGAGAGAAAATAGAATGAGAGACGGGCTGAGTCAGGTATGATTATTCGCATAACCGTTCATATCACAAATGGTGAAAGCAAATATTCCCAAACCTGGGCAAGAGCCCACAAAGCTGGGGAAGAAAGAGCCTGGCAGCCAGGAAGGAAGAGAGCTGGGGTCACCTGTAAATTACTAGTCCTTTTTTATTAATCCCACACGAGGTCTTTCTGATTTTTTTCCTTCTCTCCTTCCCATTGGTCCCTACCCAGGACCACCCTCCCCTCATCTCCATGCCTTTCTACAGAGATTACTTACCTACCCCACCGCTGGGTGGATCTGCATATGTATCCCTAATGCTCATCCCCCAGCTTCCTCACCGTTGTGGTATTGTGGAAAGGGCACTGGCTTTGCAGTCAGAAAACCTGGATTTAAACTCAGCCTTAGTCACTTATTAGCTATATGACCTTGGCCGAGTCATTAAACTCTTTGGCCCTCCATTTCTTCATCCATAAAACCAAGGGGGCCAGACTAGATCCATCTGTGGTCCTCTCCTACTTTAAGTCTATAATCCTCTAAGTCATTTCACTTGTCAGCCTCAGTTTTAGGTCTGTGTATTGCAGGGGTTTGAGCTATATGACTCCCAAAAGTCTTTCTAGCTCTAAGGCCTATGAAGAGGGCTCTCTGTAAGCACTGACCAGCTGCTACCTGCTGTGTCTGTCAGGGCCTAGATTTCTTGACATTCTCTTCTCCCCGAGATCACTCAGTCAGGCAATCAGCAGCACTTATTAAATGATTGTTTGATATAAGATAACAAATGACATAACATATAGAGGGCTCTATATAAATGCTAGTTATTGTTACTATTTACCAGGCCCAGTACTGGATGGGAGGGAGGGGGCAGGCAAAGGGATTTCAAAAATAAAAACAGAATAGTTCCTTTCTTCGGGGCGCTTACAGTCTCAACCAGGTAATCAATAATCATATTGATT